TAATACACACTTGTTTACTATCAGAGTAAATCATAATACACACCTTTGTTTACTATCAGACTAAATCATAATACACACCTTGTTTACATCAAACGAAATCATAATAGACGCGAACGAAATTATTACATGTCCCTATTAAGTGTATATATATCTACGTTCGTATATATATCTATGTTGTTCGTACTGTCCGAGAATAACATTTTTAACGAGTCACATTTGGGGGCAATGTTTACTACATGCACTGCCGTTCTGCCATTTGGCGTCGAAAATGGCATACTTACCTACAGTGGCATGAAACATGCCGTTATCATGGCAACTAATAGAATGCTATGTGTGCTTGTAATTGCGAAAACAGCTCACACAACGCTGTATCTGTATTTGTTTCAAATGTATTTGCACTCGGTTCGACGTTCCAATTTCCCCATATTTTGAATAAACTACGTTACCGACATTGACAACTTGAACATGTATAGCTCCCGACGGAAATATAATTCATTCACTAAGCACAAACATCCGAATTTGCATGCTCAAAATGTTTTTTTTTGTTTTGTTTTGTTTTGTTTTGTTTTTTTTTCCATTACGGGCCATTATCTCTCATTAAATTGTTATTATTACAAGCAGGAAAACATTAAAATAATAAGGTTATTACAATAATACGGCAAAGAATGTGCACTCTGTCAGTACATGGTCGCCTCGCCGTACTGTCTTCGCGTAACATCGCCCTGTTATCGCGCAATGGTGAGCAGTACGCCGTTCTTTATCTCGTGATACCTTGTTTACAATGGTGTAATTGGAAGTACATACTTTATGTGTTTTTTTTTCATCACATCATTAATGTTAATAATAACATTATATACATGGCAATACTGTCAAAAACCATCGTTCTAAGATGTGCTTTTATATAATACAATAGTTTATTAGTTTCAACTACTCAATAATCGATAGAAATCATCATCAGTTCTGATTTTGTAAGTCATAATGATAATGAAAAAGTTTATTTAAAACTTCTTCATATTTCCATTCGTTGTTATTGTGTCAATGTTCTAAATAACTCATCGTAGTTTTCGCCCAATTTATAGGTCTGATTTAGATTATTCTTCCATAGTCGAATCCTCCGATCAAGATTCAGGCTAACCACGACAATTTAAAAAAAATACCCTTCTTCTAGCAACGAGCTTTTATTCGGGTAGATATTGATATTGTTTACATTTAAAATTTACGATTTTGTGTTGCTGTGATCAAATAATATGCCCATATAATATACTGGTTCAATAGTAAGTTCAAATAGCATAATTCCTTAATTTATCAACAAGAGTTTTATTTTTTAGAATGTCCATTTGTGAAAGCGTGACCATCTGAAATTTATGTATTGTGTTGATGTTGTTTCCCTTCAGTATGCACTCCTGATTTGTGCGGTGTTTGCGTGTAATGATGAAATTAAAGCGGGAGAGTCGTCACCTGCGCATGCGTCCGATGGCCATACCCATGAGCCTTTGCCTAATACTGTGTTCATAGATTTTTGTTAGTGTTACCGAAATTGTGAAAGCCTGTATTAAACAATTGTCGTGGTTATAAGATGAGGGCGTAGATAATATTTATATCCAAAAAACATATACCTAAAAACCCAAGAAACTAGTTCTGGCTACTGAGTTCAGATTCAAAAACCACATAAAATAGTCGAATTACGGTTCAGTCTAACATATCGGGATGTTTGCATTACAACTCGCTGTTATACGTTGGTCCGGCGATGGGATGTTCATTTCTACTCGTAAATAGCTGATTTACAATATCAATGTCTTTGTCGATAAGCGTATGTAGTTTGCGTGTAAATGGGTCAAACGTGAATTTCTCCTTGTTTTTCCGGTGATATACACCTTCGATATCGTTCTTTACACATCGACGTCTTTCGGGAGTGAATTTGATGTTAAGATATTGTAAAATTCTTTCAACTTCTTTTAGAGTATCTTTAACCATATCTTCATAATGTACTACCATAAACGGTTTTCCTGATTCGAACCAGCTCACGACTAAATTAAGCCATTTTTCCTGTTTAATTATAGCCCAGTTTGTGAAATTCGGGTCTGCAAAAATAAGAGATTTGATTTTGTAATATTGAGTTTGAGTATACTATAAGTTTACATAAAATTATACTAGACCACATAACACGGAAATAGACTACATAAAACGGAAGTAGACTACACGCCTAGGCACCTAGGCATGCGCACCGCACCACACTGCACCACCCCGAACCACACTAACAATGTATTCACGTACTGTTTCGGTATGCCTCATTCGGGACTTGACCTCGAGACTTGTAATCGAAAAAAGAGATGAGAGAGTCGTATGCATTTCTGATAAGAAGTATTCCAGACTGCATACCCGTGTGGTATACATGACACTTGTACACTAACTCCCGTTTTAGACCCGGTTTATCTAGTTCTCCTTTAAAACCTGCATAAGAAAAAAATCATCGCAACATTCAATATTAATACAAAGTCCATATTGTGAACGTCTAAATATGCATTTCTATTTCTGATTGTTGTTAAGTAAAATAAGTAAACTACCTCATCATTTCCCTATACCATCTAGATTGATCGTTTAGTGATTTGACAATATGTTCTTTTGCAATCATTGTAAACCTGAATGGAATGTTTTGCTTCAAATTTAAGTTTGAGAAAATCAAATTGCCGCCCAGGTCTGCCTTGTGGTCTTGTCACGAAATGAATTTGCTTGAAAATTAGAGAACTTACGAATGCGTCAGTGTCATTGGCGGATTTAGATGGAGCCGAGGGGGGCGCGGCCCCCCTATTTTAAACAATCAACAGGGCTTCGCGCCATCGGCGCTCGCGAACTTGGCCTTAGTGTTGACTCCAAAAATGAACTATTCAGTTAGTACTCCCCAGTCAGGTACACTGTCAATAAACTAAGATCAAAGAACGGCAAATTTGGCGAAATGCCGAGAATTCTTTGTTACATATTCACAAGCAAATTGTTGACACTTAAAAACTGCTTAACGGATCGCCAAAGCATCGGACAAATTAGTACACATGTTATTTTATATCTGACGTTATACGGCAACTCATCCTGTACATATATGTACAACTTCTTCTATAGTTAGTAAGTTGAAAGATGCTACATGCCTAGGCATCGTCTACGGCGTGTTGACTTTTTTCTTACAAATGAATTACAATTGAGTTTATTCTGAACTCACCTAATTTATATAACCCATTACAGTTGTAACATGAACCAGTATATATGCCAGTAGCCAACTCAAGTAGATGACGTGTCCACGTGTTGCCGGATCTTGCAAAACTCGTTAACCAAACTGGTGTCATTGTGTTGTTTGGATCAGCAAAATTGATAGAACAATTCAGACTTGTATTTTTTCTAATCTCTGTAGGAAGATAATATCGTAAATTTAGGTATGGTACAAACGACATATATATATATAAATCTGTGGGAATGCATACGTTTTCAGATATAACTGGACGATGTGTTCTTACTATTTGATACCACGTGTAGATAAAGCAACATATGAAATAACATTGTCAAAAATCGCCAATGACTACGTACGATCACATTGACGCTGTTTCAAAACTATAATAAGTGAGAGATTTTCAGAAAATATTGAAGACTTGCTCATTTTTGGATGGTGAACATGAAATAAGACCACTATTCTTACCAAATATTCGATGGCAGCATTGAAACGCATGCCACGGGCCAAGTTACGTATGGTATGTACATATTTCGCAATATCAAACTTTTTATTTATTTAAAAAAAAAACAACATAAAACATTGTTGTATTAGAACCCCATTCATGATCTTTTATTGTGTTTGTAAACGGTATAGCGCCACCATACGCCGCAAAGTTAAAACATGATGGCGCACTTTGCAACCCCTCAATCGCGAAATGAGTACAATGACATTACAAACGAATACAAACAAATTACCCTAATGATTTACGTTAAAAAATAACAGTAATTGCAACAACGAGTCACAAATAAAGCATTCACTATTTAATATATATATTTTTTTATTTTCAGGCTTTTCAAAAATAGATGTTAAAAATGAGGTTTGTATAGATGAATCTGATATCAGTTTGTGCCAATCAGTTAAATTACATACTAATTGAATGTCATCAGCATGTATTATTTAATAACTCAACAATTTGGTCAAATTTGAGTCACATTTAACCCGTGTGTTTGTGCGTCTGATCAACTGATATCTCAAGAACAAGACAGCAGTGTCCATTCGAACTTAGTAGAGCTGGGATAAGTTCTTTTTGTTTGAACTCTATGAATAATAAATATCATTGCACAACAATTAGCGAATGTTAAGCTACTACACAAATAACTCTAGAACCACTTGCACTGTCTTTCAAATGAGATTCAAATCTTCTTTTGCCTCTTTGTAAATGTCCCTGATAGCATGTAGTATTTAACAAAAATACTGAATAAATCACATGTGCGAGGCGATTACACGAAGTGTGATCAAATCGAATTATATACTACTGGAAAGTTCTTTATTGTAATACTATTTTACTGCAGTCATCAATTCACATACCCCCACATTCAGTAAAAAAAAACAGTCAAAAAAGTGAAAGAATTAATTAATACACTTAAGCTTAAATCTCTGGATATGAAATTGAAAATATTAGGAAGAAATTCAAAAAATACATAGAGGGACCTGAGTTTAAAATATGACACAAGGCCCAATGGTTCACTACTGCGGAGAAAAAAATCACGAAATATATTCAGAACTTCGAAAAGAAGTAATGCAAACAAATCAAATATCACCTTACAGCCTCTGGTATATTTGTTATGATCCAATGTTTGCATGGAGGGACTATCCAAGTATGTGAAAAGTAACGTTGGTCTTTTTGAAACTCTTGCAATAACTAACTATATGCATTCTTCCCTGGTATGGAACACCCATTAGCGCTACTGACAATGGTATTGTTAAGTACGTACACTACACTTACAATGATATTCGGATAAATATTTACCTGACTTAAATGAACTTTGGCACACACACAATGTACACCACATTAAACCTTTAACGGAGCGTTTAACACAATTTATGAATATTAATTTGCATATATGTCAATAATAATAACCATATAGACCATACCACTTAGAATTATATTATGATTTGAATGAAATTCACACTAATCACATATTGGGCATTAGTGAAAATATTGAACTAAATTTTGATCAGAAAAATGAGTTTAATGTATATCTAATAAACTTGTATCCTTATATTCAGATAAAGTTTATATTTCGTCTGAAGTCTACCTAAGTTAGTTTGTCCACATTATTTCTCATAAATGTTATGCTTTATTTTGTATCAACAATATGTGTAATCAAAGGTAGATAACTCTGAGTCAGTTAGATCAATAGCTTTGGGTGTATTAATTAATCCACGATCACACGCAAATCTCGTCTCGTACTCTGCAATATATGAAACGTACGCGAAACGACGCGGCTACATGCGAGGTATGTGTACAAAATGGTGATGAATAGCAGTGTAGATTTTGGTATTTACTGTCATTGTATGAGTATTTCTATCTACAGATTTGATAATCGACAAGATAGTTCTGCTTTATGAGTATGAGACAAGATTTCCGCGGGATCTTGGCTTTATGACTCTCCCCATACTAACCCTTAGTTATTTACCAGTGGTGTAATGCACTACATATAATAATTTTTACATGACTAGATTTTGGTTTATTGCCAGGTCTTGATGAAATTTGCTAACTAACAGAACAAGACTAAGATAGAACATATTGCAGTGGTGTTAGAGTAGAGTAGTATATTGGCCTTTTATGTGCATACAGAAAAATGGATCCCGCCTTTTCATCAAAGTGTATTATGTCAGTCATTGGTAACATCAGATGACCTGAATAATCGCACACACGAGGAATAAACTCTTTTCAGAATGCTATGCAACAAAGCAAAGATGACGTGTACGACAGATTGTGGGGTATTGTTCAAGACATTGATGGATTCATGGCAAGAAAGCCCAAATGCCACAGAACATGCAGAAGCAGTTATACACACAAGAAGGAGCTGGCAAAAAGACAAAAAATGAATGACGAGTCTACTGCCTGTGGAAGTGGGTCTGTCTGTCACTAAAACAACCAGATTCCCAACAGCTGTTGATTTTAAGTCCTCTTGTTTTATATGCAATAAACAACGTGACATGAAAGAGTCATAGCAGCTCATACTTGTTGCAACAGAACAGAGACAGAAAGCTATTCACAAAAAGGCTATCGAGCTACAAGATCAGTCAATACTGATAAAAATTCAAGGACATGGGGATCAGACAATTGATATGATTGCTGCCGACTTTCGTTATCATAAGTCATGTATGAATATATTCATGAACAGAAGAAATCCAGGCCTTACATCAAATTTGTATTATGAAGCCTTTGTCGAGCTTCTAGCAGAAATATTGGACAAATTATTAAGACCGATCTGCTTTTTATATCACCCAGCTGCGAGACAGATACAGATACATACTACAAGAGTAGGCCGTAACTAATGCAATGTCATACAGAACCAAGAGGATTCAAAAGCGTTTGCTAGATCAACTATCCAGATAGTGCCTCAGAGAGGGAAGACCAGCTTAGTATGCTCATCTACAATATCTGTAATAGAAATGTGTGCTCTCGCAGCCAAGTTACAACAAGATGTTAATGATTCAGAACTGAACACAGAGTCTGACACTAGTGAGTGTGGCGACATACCTACAGAAAATGTTGTGATGGTTCATGGTGATTCCAATGCAGTAGCAAAGCACTTACAAGGAGGAATGAAAGTCGATGCTAGGACACACAGAATAAAGATGCAGCAAGCAGAAGCAAATTCTGATGAGCCTACTGAACCTGTGGGAGACTTTGAAATTTCATATGAAATGTCATCAAAATGTATCCTTAATGATCTTTACAATCATCTAGCGTGGTTGATAACCCGTGTTAATGCAGTGATCAATTAGGATGGCAGGGTAATTTGATAAGAGTTCAGTTGAAATAACATCCACTCTTTTTTGTACACAGTAAGGTACCCATTCAGACGTGGTTTACGAATGGCAGCGAAAGTTGCACTTGGTGTTATAAGGAAGTTTTCACATGTTGCTGCTTTCGGCTGTGATGGATCTTTCAATGTAGCAGCAATCATGAAAGGGGAAGCAAGGACCTATTTCACCGCCATGTATGGCAATACGGATTTCAAATGTCTGGATAGACTTCGTCAACATTAATTTGCATCAACAAAATCCGACCTTAGGATGCTCCCACCAACAGAAGATGCGTTTCATTTGCATATGCTAAGAGCTTTATATCAAATTGCATTGTACAATGGAGCATACCTAGACAAGCCATTACTTCCACCACCCACAGAATTTGGTCGCACTTTATTAGATGGTAAACTTATCCCTATTATGATGTCAAAAGAGGCTAAGCCCAAGCTTACAAAGTCTGTGAGTTGAAAATGTAAAAAATCAAAGGGTGCTCTTGTGCAAAAGCTTCTGTCCCCTAGTTGTTTAGCTTGTGTATTTCCCGGACACAAAGAGAAATGTGGAAGATCGACATCTACTAGTGAGTCATCATCCTCTGCTTCCTCATCAGATGACAATGACACCAATAGTGATGAGTAAAAGGCTTTTGTAATGGGCAAGTTAGAAATCAACCATTGTATATTTATTTTATGTAGTGAAGTAGGTGAAATTAGCAGGTGAGGAATTAATTTTGTCATTGTGATATTCATTATTTTATCAAGACATGTATCCTGTCTAGAAGTGTCTCAACATGTGTAGTCACTTATTGATTTTTACGAGTTTAATTCCTTGCATACTGCCATATCGGTCAGTATATATACTCATGTTTCTCAAAAAGGTCTAATACTATTGTCTCAGTTATATCTCAATTGCAAATTACATGGTTACTGGTGCACAGTATACATATATTTCTGTATTTTGATTGGGAACCAATACGAGTGAATGTTGCGGTTGTCCAACATTAAAAATCCTCTATCACAGACGGAGAAGCATTTACCCCCCCGCAATTGTGACTGATTCATCCTTAATAGTTTATAATATATTTTATGAAGTGAGGTCAAATAATGTACTGAAATTACGTTAAGTATGTTTTAAAATATAAATATAAAGTGTCAATACCAAAAATTCACTTCATCATAGGGTTCTCAAAGGTGCTCACTGTAATGTTGTGCAAGGGTATTGTGATGTCCAACATTGTTTTGCTCATTCTCCAAATATACAACAACTTGAATAATATAATAAAAAATGTATATCAGATCGGGCAATTTTCCCTAACCCTGACTATACGGTGTCATGTTCAGTGACAATATCCAGCCGACTGCGTGATTTCCATAAGCAATTAAACTACAATATACTTTATACGAACTCAATGTTATTGCGTTGTGTGAGTAAGACTAAGAAAAAAATTATCTGATCAGATCAATTTTGTAAATGAAAGGGACTTTAACATCTCGGAGAAAAAAATAACACAGTTAATATGTTACTAAAGAAATGGAAATACTTAATAATCCATAGACATTATTAAAAGCAAGAACAAGTCTGCACAGTATACGGGTGTGAGTATACATATATATATATATATATATGTAGAGTGAACTTTACTCATGTAGTCGTGTCTTAATTTCTCTGTCCACGTATGCATATATATATATATATATCAGTAATTTTAATGAAAAAAAAGTACATTTATCTTAGTAATAGTGACACCTGTTGTTTAGTGTGATGAACCCCCACGGTTGGGTACAGGAGCATAGAAGTTTTTAATTAAAATTGTTTTCCATAAGAAAAATGAAACCATCATACATGGCCTTATAAACAGCCTTTTACTTCATAGTGGGGTGGGTGGAGTAAAGCTGTGATTATTTTTATTACTTTCTGACCATCTAGTTTGCCATTTACCATGTCCATATAAACTAAAGCTCCAGCCAATATCAGATTTGACTACTTGTTTCAAGCTATGGCACTTGGAAATGAGTGTTGTGACATGTGGCAAATGTCCAACTGTCTTGGTTAATAAGATTGGCTATATTTCAACTAG